TACAATCTAAATCTGACAACATATGGCTCAACAATGCAAGTCTTAAAACTGTCCAAGATAAATTAATTCTAAGATTAAATTTAATTCTCATTCAGCATTGTCTGTCCTCTTCACTCTTCTTGTTCTGTTTGTCTATGGCGTCAGGGTTAGCCAAAGGATCCAAGTCAGAAAACAAGCTGAACCAAGCGGACATGTCTGCACCCTTTTTCCCTTTCGCTTTTCCCTTNACAATTATTTCCAACTCATGAATTTTCTGGCCATGCACCTACTTGTGTATTCAGTTGAGGAAACATCTTTTTCCTGGTCGTAAGAACAAGCCATCCCAATATCCATAAAGATTCTAAATTGTCTGCCACAAAAGCAAACCAAATGATAACGACAATTAATTTGCATCCACGAGTGATATATTAGTTGAAACCTTGGGTCCACACCCAAAACATGACAAAAATATCTTCTCAAGAAGTGCAGTCTGACCTTGCTTAACACGACGACTTTTCATAACACAGACACCTCTACAATGCAGACATCCATTACACTTGTAACTGTAAATGTGTCTGTATTAAGAAGGTTTAGTTGTAGTCTGTGAACAGCCACTCGGTCACTTCCCTCTCCGCGAGTTCCTTCTCGGCCCTACCAGCCGCAGTCGGTCTAGCCAGAGCCCGTTCACAGGCTAGTTTAGTCGTGACTATTATGTACATGTGACACATTTAGAAAACGTACTTAACAATATGTGACCCTGAATAACTTACAATAACTTTGATATCACCTTTTACCTGTTTTATTTTTATGAGGATTTATTTTTACTTTAAGTCCACTTACAATTTGCATTTTTATAACACTGGCTAGTTGCTATGTCTTTTAAATACTGATTACATGATAAGAACAACCCCAGAAAATTTAACATGCACAAATATTGTCACTGACCAATTTCTCAGTACAGATGTTGTCTTCATAACATAGAAAACAAAATAATAGTGCATCAGTGAGCAGTGATGTACAGTACACCTGCTTATTGCATTAGGGTTTCAATGATTATTGACAGCAAACCCATCGCCCTTGCCCTTAGTTACATCTGTACCCATTCTCTACAATCTAAATCTGACAATATAGAGGTCAACAATGCAAGTCTTAAAACTGTCCAAGATAAATTAATTCTAAGATTAAATTTAAGTCTCATTCAGCATTGTCTATCCTCTTCACTCTTCTTGTTTTGTTTGTCTATGGCGTCAGGGTTAGCCAGAGGATCCAAGTCAGAAAACAAGCTGAACCAAGCGGACATGTCTGCACCCTTTTTCCCTTTCGCTTTTCCCTTTTCACTTCCCTTTCCTGGAAGAATTGGAGCCTGTTTAGCTTGCGATGGTGGAGGATTATGTGGACGCTTACCTCCTGCAGCTGGTGGAGTATTAAGCAGCCCTA